ATCATGTTGGAGAAAAAGTTGGAAGCTTACGCAATAAGAAACTTCACAATGTTGACAATAATCCGGGACAATAATCCACAAGCATGAAAGGAATGTCGTCAACAGGCGGTTAAACTTTGTACCTGCCAGATTAGACTACGAGTAGTCCCCCATTTTTCCTCAGGGATAGTAGAGCGAGCAAAACGCGAGCGCGCGTGAAAATCAACCCACGCGAGAAAAGGTTCCCTGAGGAAAAATGGGGGACTACTCGTAGTCTACGTTTAAAAACAAGGTTGATATCTTAGCCAAAACAGAAGTATCCGTACGGTAAAAACGAGGGGGGCGGGGGTGCATAGCCCTCCAAGCCCTCCCACCCCGTCTACATCGACCTTTGCTTCTTTTTTCCCATTAGTATTTTGCTGAAGGATGGACAGTTTGATTTACTAAGGAATGAGGCCAGGCCGACATGTTACCGGTGTAACGGAACTTTAATAACATCATTTTAAAAACCAAGGCTATGTACAATAATAAACAGGAAACCTGAAAATGTATCAGCCACTATATGTGCAAAAAATTCTAAAATGGCGCTTACTGTAAATCAGTGAAAGCATCAATCACATTAAGCTGATAACACTTCAACAGAAAAATGTCTTAATGTATATATCATATGTAGCAGTCTATGCGTACCTTACGAGCAGTGGTTTAACCACCGCTCACAGGGTACTGAATGTATGGCTATCTAAATTGATCATATATTTCTATGATCAATTTGTGACAGTGTCGCCATTATTGAATACTTTTCAGAGTTCATAGTGAAGCGTCATTTACATATGAACTGTTTTAGTTTGTTTAAATACACATTGTTAATATGACGTTGCTATCTTTACTCAATACTATATAAAGCCACCGTGTCCTAAAAAACAATTTTGCGAAGTATTAGTTTTATTTCGCAGAATGTTAATCAGTCCCAAATTGTGCTATGTAAAGCTATAATATATCACATGTAGCTATACTGTATGCACAACTATCTCTAATGAATAAATACAGTGTATCACAACCTGTTCAAGTACATATAAAGACATAGTAGTGTCCAAAAACAATTTCGCTTCACCTAAAACTGAAAGTATTATGAAAGTAATACAACAGAAAATCGAAGGGCTGCGAGATTGCTTTGAAGTTGCCTGATCAATGTGAAGCTTTGCAGAAAAAGAAAAAAAAAACTTCTTTTTAAGGCTCCAAAAACGCCACTGAATCCAGACTAAAACCAGCGCTATTCAGGGAAAAACCAACACACGTTTAAATAGATTAGATAAGTGTACTTAACAGATTATTGTCATTGGTTTTAAGATACTTTTAGCTTCCTGGGTTATTTTACTACTAAAGAGGTTTGGGTAGTTTAGGGGTATGCAAAATCCTCGAGAGATAACAGACGACTGATGAAGGAGTTAAACACTTCACTGCAGCACTCACACACACTAAGCTGACACCTCCATAGCACTAATGAAGACACTAATGAAGGAGTTGAACATTCAACTACTGTATCCCGCTAAACTACGGAAACATCAAAATGTTTTTAGTTCGCAAAAATCCTGATTGTCTTCGTTGCCAGGTAACAACTTCGCAGTCTCAATACATCCTAGCGACTGAAGGTTGTTGAAGCTTAAATCAAAATCTAAAATTCCTTCAACAGGGAAACATTTACACATGTTTAATGGCTTAGAAAACTACTTCACAGTTTATGTTTTTTGAGTTTAAGAGTCTTTTACCTTGCTGGGTTATTTTATTATTAAAGAGGTATAAGCTGTTTAGTTTGCAGTTAGTGTGTGTGAGTGCTGTAAATAAATGTTTAACACTTTCATCAGTTATGTTATTACCCCCGAGGTGTAAGCTGTTTAGTTTGCAGTTAGTGTGTGTGAGTGCTGTAGATAATTGTTCAACACCTTCATCAGTTATGTTGTTATTCGTGAGGTATAAGTTGTTTAGTTTGCAGTTAGTGTGTGTGAGTGCTGTAGATAGATGTTTCACACCGTCATTAGTTACGTTGTTATTCATGAGGTATAATCTGTTTAGTTTGCAGTTAGTGTGTGTGAGTGCTGCAGGTAAATGTTTAACCCCTTCATCAGTTATCTGGTTCCACATGAGGTTTAAGCTGTTTAGTTTGCAGAGACCCTGATTGTGTTCGTTGCCACGCAGCAACTTCGCAATCTCAATACATCCTAGCGACTGAAGGTTGTTGAAGCTTAAATCAAAATCCAAAATTCCTTTAACAGATTTAAGCGTATGCACTAATGCTAAACAGTCAAGAGGTGAAAGTTTACAATTACTAAAATCAAGCGCATTACAACCAATTTTCGTCAGTTTCTTTTGAACTTTTCGATCAGAGGCATTGTTCTCATACATGCAATTGAATAGCGTCACCACTAAAGCCTTGTCTTCATCGGCTGGCCAAAAGATCAATGTTTCAATTCCTTCGTCTGAGTCTTCACTTAACTTGATTTCAACTTCTTTAGTATCCGTTTTTGAGGGAAGAAGGTCGCTGAAAATATCTGTTGATTGTTCATCTTTTTCAGCCAGCAGTCCAGCCACAAACTGCATCACAACCTTCCACGCGCCATCCTGGATGTGAGCGGCAACAAAATCCTGCAGTTGTTCGGAACTCAACGTGTCTACCAAATACTTCGCCGCCAAGAACTCCTGTATGGTCAGGTGTAAAAAGCAATATTGTTCTCTTCTCTCTGCTAAAGGACGGTCTCTAGTGTCAGGTAAACGGTGAAACAGGCCATTACTCGCTAGGTTGCTAATTTCGACTGATTCAAAAATAAGTCTTCCTTTGGTAATTCCATCAAAAGCAATTTTTCCAAGGCTAGTGAATTTGCTTTGCACAGGAAAAGGAAGTTCCTTAAACGACTTGAGAAAAAACTGTTGACCTTCGGCTTTCTGGTGGCGATATTCATCATAACTTAAGTAAAACATCTTTATTGCAATTGAGTATATTTCTGTCAGTCTTGTCGGGAGGCTGGTAAAGCCAGTAGTGTTGCCAAGCAGCTCTAACAAGCACGAACAAATGATGAAACAATTCACAGGAATGTAGCAGAAGGCTAGAAGGTTTAAGTTACTGGTGATGTGTTGCTTTATGGTTTCCGCTTTGTCCTCCTCCTTTGTAAACTTCTGCACATACTCATTTACTTGCGCAGTTGAGAATCCCAGAATTTCAACTGTTTTGTCAAAGTTAAGACTTCTGATAGATGATACGGCATTGGGTCTTATAGTCGTTAGGATTGTCGCACCTGTAAGAATTTTTCTCGTTAGTATTTTCTTCATAAGGAGATGAACAGGCATCTTGACTTCTTCACTGTTTCTGTACCGAATGTCATCTTTATTCATTTCAGTCCTACCAGGATATTCATCAAATCCATCAAAAATAATCAGTACTCGCTCTGGGTGCTTACGGATGTAGCTCCAGACCTCTTCGGGAAGAGCTGCTGAATACTCTGAGTGATCCAGAAGCTCGCGAAGATTTAGTTTTTGGTTTGTAGAGTTGAATGTCCTCAGCTTGATGAGAAAGGCAACTTTAAAATCCTTTTGCGATATTTGTATTTTGTTATAGAAGTTCTGGAGCTCATAAAAAGGCAAAGGAGCTTTAAAATCTATTGTCTCTATTTGTAATCTTTGTAATCCGTTCAATAACTTATCATGAGCCCAGTTCCGAAGAATCTTTGTGCTAAACATAGTTTTGCCAATTCCAGGACGACCAACAACAAGAATCTGTCGCTCTAAATTATCAAAAATATCTCCTGGCAGTTTTGGTCGTAAATTTTCATTGGCTTTGTGGTACTCGTTTAGCTGTTCCACTCTGTCTCCTGAAAAGTCATACTTAGCTCTCCCTTCATAAACAATCAAATTGGTGAAGATTTCGTCAAGCTTCAGATCTCTTCTGGGTCCTTCGCCTGGATTATGAAAAGGTGAATTAAGATCTCCGTAAGGTTTATCAGTGGCATCTCGGACATGTTTCTTCATACGTTCGATGAAAGGAGCGACTAAGGTTTCGTCGTTTGTTTGAGTGTGGTTGAATGACCAATCAAGTGAAGCGTTGCTGGATGAAGCGGTTGATGGTTGCTGTTCGGTTTGATTGTCAACAGACTCTTGTTGCTGCGGTTCTGACGGGGGTTCGAGGTTGAATGGAACGGTAGATGGTGGTGTAGTGTTATTCTCATCATAGCGGGTGATTAACTCTTGTGGTTGCGGTCCTGTCGAAGAAACACTCATTAGTTTCAATTGATAAAAAAATTGATATTTTATTGATACATTGATGACCAACAGAACAATGATGTCATTTTCACCACCGTCCAGAATATGCACGTCAAATGTCAAAATATCATTACCGTAAATCCTCCATTAAGCCCCCCGGGGGTATATGAATTTCAAGCCCATTTCATGGGGGTGGGTATTTGAGAGGGGGGGCTTAATTAATTTAAAAAAGGCGATGGTATCAGCTCTCCATAACGAACTAGAATACAAAGTGGAAAGTGGAAATTAGTGGAGAATAATTAGGGGAGGGGAGGGGACTTAATAGAGGGGAGGGGCTTATTAACTTTCTTCTCATGAAAAGGAAGGGGCTTATTTGAGAGGGGCTTTAATAGAGGATTTACGGCATAATGCGAGACTAACATGATAGCTTCCAAATATTGCAAATTCTTTCAAATTGTACTGGGCCCAGTTGTTCGAAGGCCGATTAGCGCTTAACCCGGGGTTGAATTTAACCCAGGTTTTTCTTTCTTGCGTTCAAAAGCATTTTCTCTGTTATTTTTAAAGCTTCCAATCATCAACTTGTAGACAAAAAGAAATAAAACATACATGCTTTTTAAGCTCTCAAATCTGACTTCAAATCTCGCACTAACCCTGGGTTATCTTAACCCAGCTTTGAACAACTCGGCCCTGGTCCCTAATGAGATGCACACTTATAATGCTTCTTGTTATTTTACAGAAACATACCAAATTCACTATATTACTTTAACCAATAACACAAATGGTAGAAATTGTATGACAACTTCTACTACTCATACGAAATCCACCACATTAATTTTCATCTCATCTTTCACAAATTGAAGAAGTGGTGGGTATTGGACAGCTGAATTTGGGATGGCATGCACTCACAGTGCATACATCGTGTAGCTTATCTGTGACTGTACCATGAAAGGAACCCAAAAATGGATTCAATAAATCATTTGCCGAAATGTGGCAGCACTTAATTAGAGCATGATTACCTTGATAATGAGGCCATGAATGGAAAACACAGGGTTCATTCAAAATGTGTGCAACAATAGATGCTGCCATCACACTGGCACAGGAAGACCAACTCTCAGAAGCCAGCTGAGAGCCATCTGCAAAGTCAGCTATTCCTTTCACAATTAACCACTCAATTTGACAATCAAATGCTGCTGTAAATACTCCTGTAGGACAGCAAAACAAACAGTACATGAGTTTTGGGAAAAGTCCTGTTTTATTCAAGTGTCTTCATCAGCAAAATAAGAAACTTTACAAGACAGTGGGAGGCGTCAGTAGCCATTTTTGTATAAGATTCATTACAATATAATTTAAATTCATCAACAAAGATGAGTGTGGGGGGAGGTGCCTGCAAGTCTTGTGGAGCCAGGAAACTGGAGCCGAGTGCAGCTGCTCATGACCATGACAACCCTTCGAGTGGCAATAATTCAGGCACCATCTCACAGCTAACTAGTGTAGCTTGTATACAGTAGAACCCCGCCTTATGGCCACCTTGGTAATACAGTCAACTTGTTATTATGGCCATTTTTATCTGGCCTGCCAAAATGGCCATACATTTTCTAATGAAAACCCTTGTCACCCATTAATGTGGCCAATGGCCACATTTTAAAATCCCAAACAGTAGCATTTTTTACAATTTCACCCCATTAATACAGGCACTCGCCAGAAATTTTGAAAATTAAAATGCCTGTGACATGTCAATTTCATTGACCTAGTAAGCTGAGCTTGTTTTTCTACTGTTTTTAAACTATAGTTGTTTCTTAAAACTCCTTCAGTACATAAAACACTTAAAAATTGGCTAATAGACCACCACAATGCATTGTAAGTGACTCTGTTGTGGTTCAATTTTATCCTTGGTTCAAATTTTCTTTTCTTTTGTTTTTGGGTATGGTAATGTATGATAATAACATGATAATGAGTTTGAAACAAAAGAAGAGAAAATTTGAACCAAGGATAAAATTAAACCACAACAGAGTCACTTACAATGCATTGTGGTGGTCTATTAGCAAATTTTTAAGTGTTTTATGTACTGAAGGAGTTTTAAGAAGTTTTTACAATTACGGTATGCGATATCTACATTCCTGTTGTTTATTAAACAGAACACAGTTGTACAAGAATTAAGTGCGACAGCGATGTATGATGTATTTGTCACCACAGTCCTTAAGTCAGGAAGTTTGACCCTGCCCCGGAAATGTGGTCACCCTGTTAATACGGCCAAATTGTTTTGACCCATTGATGACAGTATTAAAGGGATTCCACTGTAATAGCCAAAGGGAAGGTAGAGTAAGGAGCAGAACATTTGACAAGTACTAGCAAGGTTAATAAGCTAGATGAATCTAATGGTATGACCTCAACAGAGAAGCTGTGAATTCCCCACGGTCCTTGAAGAGCCTTCTCATTCGAAAGGCTGACTTAACTGGCCAGCAATGTCTAGAGTTAAACTTAGCCCAAATTTGATTTAGCTGCATAATGTTTTAGGCAATATGACAATTATTTCTCTAGCAAAAACGAGAGGATTTTGCAATGAAACTGACAGACATGGTTTAAAGTGCCAATCAAACTACTGACTTTTTGATGCTTTAACCAAATTTTTGCTTTCCCAGTACAAGTAAGCACATGCTCTTAAGTCTCTTTCCACCTCCTCAAGCAAAGCTTGACCTGGCTGTGTGCACCTACTTATAAACACTGGCTGCAAAAAAGCAGTCGGCCTACCTTCTCCTTCATTTTCCATTGCTATTGCCTGAGGATTGGTTTCAGCAAGTTGATCACACCGCTGCCCAGAAATGACTCGTTCTGGTCCACTCAGAAACTCTGCAGCAGTATGAACTTGAAGTTGTTGAGCATCAGCCAGGTTCTTCAAAGGTGGTTGCCAGCCATCAGCACAGTTCTTAATGACATCCAGAAAACGTTTGCTCACACAATTTCTCATGCCAGTTGACTGTTCTTGATTATTGATCACCACTTTGGGTGCATATGTTGCTATTTTGGCAGACACAACAACATCTCCCAACTTGCATTTCTCAGGGTAAAGACTGCTACACGTACCAACAGATACAACTGCTTTAGGTCTTAGCACAGTGGCTGCATTCTTAACAGAGACAAGAGAACCACCAGGGCCACTACTATTTCCAAAACATTTTAATAATGCGACTTTTACTTTCTCTTGACTTCTATCCACATCAGAAAAGTAAACAAATCCAAGACCATCAAAGTAACATCTATAGGGGTTCTTAAGTTCACTGTAACAAGCTAAGAACTCACAATTCTTCACTGTCAGTAACAAGACATCAACAGGGAGAACAGCATCTTTTGAAGGTTTAGTTATTGTTTTGATGTCACCCAAGGATGGAAGAACTTTATTAAGCTCAGGAGGGCTCCTAATGGGCTTCTTTGCATTGCTTGCAGTATTGTTTACACAAGAAGGGAGACGGCTGGTAAGCTGTCGTGCAGAACCATCACTTCCATCTGATCTACTGGTTGTATCCTCCAGAAAATCGGTGGTAAGCTGGGGTGCACTGCCATCACTGTTCTCTGATCTGCTTGTTGAATCTTCTGAAGTTCTTATTATCTTAGATCCTAATCAGTGCATTAAAAAGAAGTTATAATTAAAATTAATGATATTATAACAGATAAAATCAATAAGATAATATATATAATATTTATAACAATATGGGGTGCTAATGGCAGGTTGCAAAGACACAGAAAAAAAGTGTCAAAACCTGGATCTTGCACCTTTTTGCCACTAGCATTGTATGAGACTGAGATGTAAGATTGGCTCTCTTCATACTAAACATTGTAAACTTTAACACTGGAAATAAGTACCCTATGACATGAAATTTTGGCGACACTTTAATTTTGCGAGTTAAGCAATTTTTTTAAAAATGGCTAAAGTAAAATGCACAAAATTAAGTGTCGCTAAATTTAAATTGTTGCTAAATTAAAGTGTGTAGAATATGAAACTCTGCCATCTGGTAAGTTTCACTGACGTGCATATGCTTTTTGACCAGGTTGATTATGACTTGTTTCATTGACTTTTCTGTGACCATGTACCTTAAATATCAGTGAGGACAGCACTAAGATATGACATTACAGTGGCAGTTTCGTTCAAAATTATCAGAACGTATGAATTTGATTTAAATGAAGCAATTGACGTTTATGATTATTTTTATCACATTCGCTTAAGTTTCAGTTAGTAAAATCACGATAATTAAGTGACTTACATTCCAAAATTTATGAAAAATCGCGATATTAAAGTGCCGCTAAATAAGGGTTTTTCATAATCACGCCAAAATTTCATGTAACAAGGTACAATATCTTTATAGCACCAGGATTATATTGTATTTTACTGAAACAGTGCTATATATCACAGCAATAACCAATACGATTGTACTGTTAGTAATAATTAAATTTCTTCTTTTGCCGTGTCCATGCACCTACTGACTGATAAATTCTTTTCAAAAACTCATTAATAATTCATAAATAAAAAACAAAAGACATTAATGTTATGAGTGTCTTTATATCTGATAAAGAGACAGCTAAACTTTACTTCCAATTTTTTAGACCAAAACATATAAGTGCAAGAATGAGTTGATCTATATCAGAGATTTTGAAGCTGTTCAGAAAACTCGCAGTAAACTGGCGCAGCACTAAACAGTACATAAAATTTAAATGTTAAAAATCCCAAAGTTTTAGCTAAAACTTGGCCTTCATATAATATGCATGTACAAATTGGCAAAACCAATGTCTTTTTTAATCATCAGAGGTGGAATTTGTGGTATGAGTATTTGAATTTTTGAATATTTCTTTGCTAACTGAAAGTTCAGGACAGTTTTGTCTGTCATCATTAACGGATTATTTTGGTAGTTTCTGATTGAGGGTGTAACATTTGGGACCGGTTTTGTTGAAAAATACAATTGTGGCTCAAATCAGAGATACAGATCGAAGAGAAAAGCAGCAAGTACTAATACAACAGCATCAATTCTTTAGAATGTAGTGAAAGATTACATGTTGAAGGAAGATGGGCTTCACATTTTTCAGCCTCACAAGGAAAGGATAAAAAAGAAACTGCCAGATTTAGCCAAAAGGAGCCTCTGTTGAAAGGCATGCGCAGTTAACAGTTAACCTGACCACGTCCTTGCATGTATTAACCAAATGACAAGTTGTCCCCCCTTCTAAGATATCCGTAGTTCTAAAATCTTTCTGCCTCCATGTAAATTGGCCCTTACAAAAGGTTCTCTTAAAGTTGGTCCACATGCAGAAGTTTTTTTTAAAAGGACTAGTAATCACTCACTAGCTTAAAAATGAGTGGGTTCTTCCCAACTTTGTGAGGAGGGATGGTTTCAGCCAAATGTTTTCAATTATGACCAAGGTGGCAACAACCTTACATTATACAGTGAGTGATCACATTTTTACTTTTAGCTTCATGTATAGGAGGGCTTATTTTCTTACCATAGAAATTACCTTCTTCATTTGAGTCTTCAGTCACATCTCTCCGTCTCTTTGTTGCTTGCATGACAGTGAGTTGAATTGGCTTCACACAAACTGGCAAATTAAATTAATTTTTAAATATTTATTAGCAAAAGAAAATTCCAAAGCAACTATGATAAGTAACACAGTTGTCATGACCACAAGAAAAATAGTTTGTCAGTGGCTACAAGTGTAAAATCTGGCTTTGGGAGGAGCATTAACCATCCACAAATACGCTTGTGAATTTAACTTTTAATGATGTTTTTGATCGCAGATCAGGAGCCAGACTGAATTTTACAGCAAGTACTACAGCGAACACCCTAGTGTTTTGGCAGGTTTTGGGCTTTAAATAAGCACATATGGAATTTTACCTTTTATTTTAAACGTCAAAAAAATTCCAACATAAGAATTAAGTTGATAAACTTATAGCTCATGCTTCATCAAGTCTAAACCACTGAGTTATACATTAAATTATGTGTGTGATTTTTCCTAACGAAACTTAAAATTTGATTGGATGATCACGTTATGCGACAGATTTGAGCTCAGATTTGTGAATAGCCCATGCATGTTTGATATACTAAAATGACTTCAAGCAGCCAGCATCACAGACCTAATTTAACTTCAGTTAGTAATGTCTGTGAAGCAGCACCAATATCCTTATTCTGGCTCCCTAGGGACTCAACGAATTACTGGAAGAACGTTTTCGAAATTCCTTTCACCTTATTTGGCGAATCAACAATGGCTTTTTTAACAAGCCAATCATGGCTCGTACTCAAATCCTGTTACGTACACAGCCAGGGATCAGGAACAAGGAATTCAGCGCTGTTTCGCAGATGGACTTAACCAGAGTTTAGTATCGTCTGTTGCCAAGGCTAGACTTCAAGGCTTTAGGGTCAAAATTGCATCACCATTTTATTTATTTATACAATGAACTACTGTTATTCTTCACAATGATCAGTTATATAAATTATTCAGAAATAACAACACTAACGTTCTAATTCATCGTACAATAGTCAAGAACATAACATTTTAGCTAACGAGCTAATGACGTTTGAGCGACTGGCCTCAGACCATAAAGGAATCAGGCTAGTGCAAGAGTTCTCTAGTATCTCTGCAATTTTTGATTACAGTAGAGGTAAATTAGTACGAGTTTACAATATCCAATGGATTAACATCTTATACAACTAGTATATTCAGATTAAGCAGGGACAACTAACCTTATTGTTTAGAAAAAAAGTAAACTTTATTCTCATAGAGACATTTACAGTATCATCATCCTCTTGCAATGTCCTCTGCGACTGATATATGTATATAAATTCAGCAAACATAATCCCACAAGTCCAAAAAAAGAAAAAAAGGACGTTTGTGAATAGAAAGAATGTTTTACCTTGTCTGGGCTGAAGGCTGACATAGTGAAACTCGTGAATGTGTCCCAACATAAGGGGGTTGGTATTGGCAGGTGCATGATCTGGCTTAACAACTATCTCACGATCGAGACTGCTGATAATATGGATGGGAGTTTGAAAGTGATTTGCTGCAGCAAACAAAACCACATGATCACCCCAAGTACCGTCTTTCACCATGCTTTGTAAGTATTCACGCCAAGATGGGTATCCAGAGACAAAGTTAAACAAAGATGTTCCTTCGTGCTTAAAAAACAAAACCAATGAAGCTAGTGAATTTCATTTTTTTCTGACTAGGCGGCATAGACGTAAAGTGATTTTAATCTGTTAGAAAGTTTATTTAAAGTTTATTTAAAAGTGAGTGGTTGGCTAGGGTAGCCTTTAAAACCACTTAGCGGTACTATTTATTCAAAATATTTTCCCAATCCTGATTGGCTAAAAGCACACGCATAATTCTCTATAACCAGTTACTGATGACCAAATTTGGAAGAATTTTGTGTTTGCTCTCGTCCCAACTTTCTCGGCGAACTCACACAGAAACACTTGCTATGCAGGCTAGAATGTTTGTGGTGAAAATTTACTATATAAGATCGAGAAGACCCCTGAGCACTTACTCTTACCGAACCAGTTCCAGAAGCATTTGAATTGCCTGCCCCTGACTGGACAGGAAAAATTTTTCTGGCCAATCAGCAAAGAGGAGCAGCTGGGTGTCTCTGGTGTTTTCTTACATGACGTGGTTTTCCTCATCAATCACCATAGTTGGGTACGGTGCTCAAAGGGGAAAGTTTATTGAGGAAAGCTTCACAACAAAAATATTATGTTTGAGAAGCTGGAAAAATTGCAAGCTATAGCACGGCTACAAGAAACAACAATCTCCGATGAATTTTTAAGGTGGATCTGTCGAAGGTATGATGAATTTTTATTCCTGATACACGATGCATGACTTTCACTTTCCACACCTTTGCAGACATTGCCTAGTATACAACTCCAAGCTTACATTTTAGATCTCCATGTTTGTTAAGTTTGCACAACTTCTGAAACTTTTCCGGCTTTGTTAACAGTTTTTTTCTGGAACTTCCCTCCAGAAACTTTCCCAGTTAAATGCACTGCGCAACAGTGGTGATCAATGAGGAAACCTACATCATGTATGAAAACACTACAGCCACCCGGCTGCTCCTCTTCGCTGATTGGCCAGAACTTTTTTTTCTTGCCAATCAGAAGCAGGCAGTTTAAATGCTTCTGGATTTGGTTCAGTAAGAGTAAGTGCCCAGGGGCTCCTCTCGATCTTATAGTAAACTTTCACCACGGACATTCTATTGTCCTGACTAGCTGCCCCTGGGTCTCCGAGGATGTGGCTGCCTTCACTTAATGTGCTTTGCTATTACTAAGTTAATAATTGACAGTCTACATTCTTCGACGTAGAAAATCCCTGGGGGTATTCCCTTACAACTATTGCTCTGAAATAGTGCCAAGATTTGGAGAGTTGGACAGCACACCCCCACTACAACTTCCCAGAAATACCCCCTGGGGAGAAAATGAAAGGTATTTTATAAACTGGGCCCACCTTGAGGCAGCCCTGTAAATGAATAATTTTGATTCTCTCCAAATTTTGGAAGTGGTTTTAGGAGGGAAATGATACTGTTAACTTACTGTTAAGGCCACCTGTAACCTTAGGTGGCGACAGAAGGCGACTATTTCAAGTCATGATGTATAATTTGTGTGATGTCACCAAGACAAGTGACCTAAAATGGTTGTTTTTGGTTGTTATTACCCTCCAAGTTTCGCTTTCAAAGCTTAAGTATTTCAGACTAAATACGAAGAGGTGGGTGATTTCAAAGAAGATCGAGAGAGCCTAGTCTTGATCCCATAATACTTCAGCTCTTTTTTGTTATGTTCAATCCCGGCTTTTATCCAATTTAGTTTACCAAAGAATCGTCAAACTGGGTGAAGCGAAATGATTATAAAATTGATTATGATTATTGCTGATTAATTTAATATTATTATTATTAAATGATTATCATATGAGAGGAATCCGCCAAACAGACATGGAAGGCCTGTTAGTTAGGCTAGTCAACAACCTACCAGATTAGGGTTCTCATCGAGGAACTCAACCAACGTTTTCCTTAGCTCTTTGTGTGAGATTCGAATTCCTTTGACACTTTGTAATTGTTCTGATAATGCATAGAATAAACAGTTCCCGGATGCTTGGTTATCAGAAACAACAAATCCTTTGTTGGCAGCAATCGTTGTCAGATCAGATGGTAGGTTGGTTTTCTTGCTAACCTGTTCTGCATCACATTGTAAGTTTTGTAAAGATGGAAAAACATTCCAAGCTGAGAAAAAAAGAAAACAAAGAAAAAAAATGAGTACTTATAATCACATTTTCCATTGTTTGGTAGGGGTGTAGTGGTCATGGATATTAATAAGTTTCTGGATCCTATTGCAGTGATTAATTTAAAATAATCCCCTGAAATTGACATCAACTAGTTTTTCATGATAAGAGAATTAGTAAGATTTTAATAATAGTATTTGCTTAATCCATAGTTCTCACTTATTTAACTTGTTGATTAATTTTGCAGAGGGCAGTGCAGTCTCGTTAGTACCTCATGTTCTGCTTAAGTAATGTTTCCCATCCAAACCGATGGGGAACGGAAGTGAACATAATTGCATCTTGGGCAGTCGTTATGCCCAAAATACTTTGCGGCAAACTGTCTCAATAGGTGAAAAGACACTTAGCAATACACTTTAATTTGGTAGCTTCATTAGGCATCTTAAAAGAGAAATTAACGGCCTCACGTCAAGTTGAAAGGCGGTACTCAAAAAAGTCTTCGCTTGAACTCCCTAATAGCTTTCCTCCGAAATATTTAAATGAATAAAATCAGCAAAGGCATTTCTTAAATTGGCTTTCATTAGTTTTCTTGCAATTTTGGCACTTTTAAGGCATAGTGAGATCCAATAATTATTTGTACATGAAAAGTACACAAAAGTGCACATGTTCACACCTGCCGCATATTCTTTTTCTTTTCTCTCTCTCCCTCCAACCCCTCCACCTACTTTTTTTGGGAGATTCAAGAACTCTAGAAGTTTAAATGTTCTTGAACTTACGGAGAAAGGGAAAAATCCTAAACCATTTTGAGACAGACCAAAGCCAACTGTTCTGTCTTAGCAGTATGTATACATGGAAGTAAACTTAGCTATGATTCATCCACGCTTGCGTAAACCATGGACTTAGAAAAAAAAGCCCGATTCACATGATGTTAACAACTCTAACGAACCAAGAACGCTCTAAAAGCATCAAAGTCTCGCTTGCTTGGTCTGAGATAGATAAGAAGGGAGGAGGCAATTATTTTATTTTATACAAAACTGGATTTCCTTGTTAAAATTTTTTCACTTTCTTGATGATGATTGAGTCTGCATAACTAAATAAATATTGATAGAAGTTACATCATTGCAAGAGAGAAAAAATAGTCCTCCGGGAGGACATGAGCTTACTGGCAATCAAGAGTCTGTAGGAAGAAAAGGGCAATGACAGGTACCTATGGTGCGAAGCATAAACGTTTAACCTCATGTGCTATGAATTTAAATTTTCTCTTTGGAAAATAATTATTATTTTCCAAAGAGAAAATTTAAATTATTTAATAGTTTGTATCACTCAGTGTACCTTGTGTTTTCAACACGTTTGTTTTCTATTGCCAATGTGTTTGCTGTGCGTTATCTGTGGAAAATGTATGTAACGGAACATCGCAACAAGTGACAACGGAGCGAATAACGATACATAAACAACAATGTGCTTGCAGAACAAAATCATTCTTCAAGGTAGCGACTACTAAATTACATGTGCACTGTGGCACGTAAGGTTGGTTTGGCAGCCTCAAGCAGAGTTAAACGTCTACAGAAATTCTTGAATTGAGTTTAACCAGATTAATTTCTTTGCTATTTCTGTCCATTCACAATTGCTTTATGTGTAAATTGAGTTCTAATAGTAATGGATATTTTTAATCGTTTGTGGGAAATACAAACACGAATCTGTCGTTATTACTATAACGTAAACATTCAAATAAAATGTCAGAAACTCACATAAATTCAAAACATTTCATCTTTATTATGGTTATAAGGTAATTTTGCTACGACAAATGCATGCTTAATTTTGCACAGAAATTACAATAGTCCCAGCTTCTTGGAGGAAGATGGGCTTTACGTTTTCCAGCCTTGCAGTAAAATGAGAAAAAGAAACCCAGCCAGATTTAGCCAAAGAGAGTCTCTGTTGAAAGGCAGTTAACAGTTAATTTGACCACAACCTTGCATGTATTAACCAAATGATAAGTTGTTCACCCTTCTAAGATCTGTCTGGTTCTAAAATCTTTCTGCCTTCATGTAAATAGCCCCTAACAAAAGGTTCTCTCAAGGTTGGTCCACATGTAAAATTTTTTTTTAAAGGACTAATCACTCACTTGCTTAAAAATGAGTGGGCTCTTCCAAACTTTGTGAGGAGGGATGGATTTATTCAGCCAGATGAATGTTTTCACTAGTGTCCAACGTCCCAGAAATTATGACCAAGGTTGCAATAATCTTACATATTCGTACAGTGAATAATTAAATTTTCACTTTTAGCTTCATGTATAGGCTGGGAGGGCTTATTTTCTTACCACAGAAATTACCTTCTTCATCTGAGACTTCAGCCACATCTCTCCTTCGCTTTGTTGCTTGCATGACAGCAAGTTGAAATGGCTTCAAACAAACTGGCAAATTAAATTAAATTTTAAAAAATTAAGCAAAAAAAAACAACTCCAAAGCAACTATAAATAATAATAAGTAACACAGTTGCATGACCACAAGAAAAATAGTTAAATACTAGCTGCAAGTGTAAAATCTAACTTCAGTAGGAGCATTAACCATCCACAAATATGCCTGTGAATTCAATTTTTAAGGAAGTTTTTGATTGCAGATCAGGAGTCAGACTGAATTTTACAGAAAGTACTACAGGGAAACCCTAGTGTTTTGGCAGGCTTTGGGGTTTACACATATGGAATTTTACCTTAAGTACATTTTTTAGATCAAATAATCTAAACATAAGAATTAAGTTGATAAACGTGCAGCTTATGTTTCATCAAGTCTAAATCAATAAGTCATACATTAAATTACGTGTGTGATTTTCCGTAAAGGAACTTAAAAATTTTGATTGGATGTTATGTGACAGATTTGACCTCAGATTTGCAAATAGCCCACGTTTGATATACCAAAATTCTAACATGACTTAAAGCAGCCTTTGTCGCAGACCTAATTTAACCTCAGTTAGTAATGTCTGCGAAGCAGCGCTGACATCCTCATTCTGGCCCCCAAGGGACTCAACGAATTACCGGAAGAGCATTTTCAATTTCCTTTCAATCTGATTAGCAAAACGACGATGGCATTTATAACAGACCAATCATAGCTCGTACTCGAATCCTGGTACAGAGGTGGAGGCCTAGAACAAGGATTTCAGTGCTGTTTTGCAGACGGACTTTTCACCTGACAGTGTGGTACAGGCTAGACTTCAAGGCTTTGGTGTCAAAATTGCAATTTTTTCACCACTCTATTGTATCGCAATTCGCAGAAGAGACTTGGGCACAAAAAATAAAACAAACCAAATATAGAAAACAGACCAGAAAGCCTCGGAGTCATGTTAGAAGAATTATTTTAATATATCAAACATGAGTGGGCTGTTCCTTCCTGCCAGACAATGTATTTCTTTTAGTTGTTGATTACATTGTTTAGTTCAGTTCCCATTGGCACCACTAGATCCTTTATAAACCACTCCTTGTGAATTTCACACCACTTGACACCAATCAGTTTACCGGTGGCTGCTTTTTTCATTTTCTTATGTATGAGTTTTTTAGGTTTTACCTACGTTTACTTTGTTCTTGTATTTTCGCATCGCTTTGTTAAAATGATCTGACTCTGTTTTAGTTTGTTAATTTTTTGTTCAGCATATCTTGTTAGCACTAATGATGTTTCCTTAATCTAGCCTTTCTTAGTCCTCTGTATCTGTATTTAAGCATGCATATATTCCTTGTTTTTGCTGTAACTATCACTGGAGTTATTAACTCGATTGCTGGCTGCTCCCTCCGTTTCTCAGTCTGTTGTTTTGTCTCTTTATACCTATAACAGGAATATTTTCTATTCGGTTGAGCGTAGCGATAGAGAATAGAACGTCCTTAGCTTCATATACTCGTGCGCCTTAGATCATGCCCTCGCCTCCCGGCCACCCCATCTCTTACCGACGTTTGTCAACTCTTGCACGAGAAACCAAATCGAATCAAAGAGTCACAAAATTTCCCTTCTTTGACTACTAGATCGTTGCTTCATATCCCACTAAATGTCAAAGCGCTTTAAACAAAGAGGCTTAACACATCAGGCACTTTTACGTTGTTCAACTATGCGACGCAAGTACATGTAAGTGGTGAAGTATTTTGAAGTTTAGCCTCAGGGAACCTGATATGATCCTTGCACACAATAAGAAGACACAGTACGCTTAGATTTCATATGAAAAAGAAATGAATTAACTTTGATTCTTACCTTGACAAGCAACGCATGCATTTCAATGCAATGCGGAAAATCAACTGTACAGAGAACACGATAAAGTTATTGATGCTGTTGATGGGACGCTTGCTGGAAAAATAAACTCAGCCGATGTTTTCAGGTTGGTCCCAAACCACCAAAAGTCGAAAATTTTACCACTGAAAGGGATAAAGGGTCGATAAAGACAGCGAACACAGTAAATTCCACACTGACGTTCATAACACTTCCGTATCTGGGAATACGTCGTCGATGCGTCTGATCTCTGAAGACAATCTTTGCATTCATTGGTTCAAAAGAGTCTCATGACTTACACGTCAAGTGAGCTGAAAAATTTGGAATTGGATCTGGAATTCTAGGTTAGTTGAATAGGCTTTAGTTTTCGTTTCGTGTAATCTCTATGAACGTTATAAATAAAAGAAAGAATTAACTTAAGTATAGGAAATGAATCCATTAGTGTATTGTGCCTATAAATTGGTAGTGGTCTGTGATGTCACTTTGGGTCTGACAGATTCAACCACCAAGATGATTCCAAGGTATGAATTGCAAAGCAACAAGAACAAGATGCTTTTGTTAACAATTCAACATTACATTGAAGAGGTAAAACATTGAATAGATGATATTTAGCGTCAAAAGCACTTTACCTGTGTTTGCCTCCTGTTTTTGCTTCCTTTAAACCGAGCCTGTTCTTGCAAGGCTTTAGATACCCGGGGGAGTCGAGGGGTGCGGAGACTCACTCATCAAAGTCTTTGTAGAAGAACTAAGCCCAAACGGCCAAACCCTTAATATCCTTTGATGACTATACCAAAAACATACCTGGTCATATAGCTGCTATAGAATTAACTGATACCCTTACCACATGCCTACAGTTCTTAGGGAAAAGCCCTGGGACACGAGGTTGGCCTTCAGTGAAAACACTGCATACGTATACCATCTCTTTTACTTACAGATCAGTGAAGTTTGATTTCGCAGGACGTAAACTGATGACAGCAATGTGATTTTCATACTGAGTTCTCCAATGATGAATAACGATTACAAAAACATCATTTGTGGTTGCCACGTTTGGTTAACTTTCACGGCTCCTGGTGCATGCCGTTGTAACAAAGAAAAAACAGTCTTCCTCACCCCCCTCCCTCTTTTTTACGGATTATCCCCAGTACTGTGATGTTAGTATAGGTAATCACATGATTTTTCTCGTGCAATCTGGGATAAATCAGCACTAGTAAATTTTTCAAAGACCCAACCAAATTGCACGAGCCCGGGCACGGGCAACGTGATGGGGCAGTCCCAGTGGACAATTTTAACGCCACGTCTCGTTTGGACAAGAAAAAACAATTTCAACTGAAAGTTTCGTTCGGAAGAGGACTGGTATCATCCCCCCCCACCCCACCCCACCTTTAACAAAACCACGCTGGATGCGCCCTTGCTTCGGTTTCTCCTTCTTCTCAATAACCAACATGTTGAAATTCCAGTTCTATGTAGAAGGAGTTTCCAATTAGTTAAGGACATCTAAGAGGGCCACAGGTTCACCAGTTCTTGGAACTATCAAGTGTCAACCTCTTTAACCCCCTAAGTCCCCAAAGTGACAAACCTCAATTTTCTCCTTTAACAATATCAATACACAATCAAGAGAATAGGTTGTGAGAATTAATAAAATAATCACCTGAAGGAATGCTTTGATCTTTCATCAAATTCTCTCAACTTATTCTACATAGAAATGTGTAGACACAGGTTTGGAGAATTTGCATGTGGATATTGGGGCTTAAAGGGTTAAATACAGTTTGTTTTTGGTTTATTTTCCATACTCATCATTTTCGGTTTATTTTGTTTTTCAAGGTAGCTAAATTAAAATATGGCGGGAGAGAAAAACAAAATCATCATTAAAAAAAAAAATTAAAAAAGAGGAAGAACAAAATAAGGGGGCTGACAGGGACACTACAACAGCTGATGCCAATTACAGCGGGGGGGGGGGGG